TCTCAGCCTCCTGAGTAGCTAGGATTACAGGCATGAGCCACCTGTGCTTTACTGCTTTTATTTTTATTTTTTAAATACAAATGGATTCCAAATACAGTACAATATTTCTAATTGCAATAGAAAGTTATCATGAAAATATTTTGTACTTTACAAAGATATCTCAGGCTATGTCAAGATAAAGTATTTCGGGGCTGGGAAGGTGGCTCAGTGGTAGAGCGCTTGCCTTGCATGCCTGAGGCCCTGGGTTCGATTCCTCAGCACCACATAAGCAAAAAGAAAAAAGCCGGAAGTGGCGCTGTGGCTCAAGTGGTAGAGTGCTAGCCTTGAGCTGAAGAGCTGAGGGACAGCGCCCAGGCCCAGAGTTCAGGCCCCACGACCGGACCCAAAAAAAAAAAAAAAAAAAAAAAAAGATAAAGTATTTCAAAATTGCTGAAAGTAAGTATTGTTTAGGAAAGTTGTAGCCACTAAAAAAAAAAAAAAAGGCAATTAGTAAGAAAACATGGAAAGAGCCCACATGTCAAATGACATTTGTTGAAGATTTAATTTTTAAAGCCCATCTTGAACCCATATATCTGGAAATAGAAAAATGCAACACTCCAGATGAGCTGTACTAACAACCAACTACCCTGAGGGAAGAAGGAAATTTAGTAGGTACTCTTCAGCAGGAAACATTTGCTTGATTCATGAATTGCACTGAGAAAAATTAATAGTGTGATTTAATAAGTGTTACTGTGTTTTATTTCCATTTGAACCTATGTATCAGTGTCAGATTCGTCTTTCAACTATGAAAGATCAAAGCCAAGTATCAAAATAAAATGAACTTAGAACTGAACCTTCTAATTGCTGTCCATTTTAAGTATAGACATTTTTTTAAAAAGGAGACCGTGACACTACTCTCACTCAAAAGTTATTAACCATGACAGCAATTACTTTTGGAAGACTAAAAACTAAGTTCAGCCGGGCGCTGGTGGCTCACGCCTGTAATCCTAGCTACTCAGGAGGCTGAGATCTGAGGATCGCGGTTCAAAGCCAGCCCGGGCAGGAAAGACCGTGAGACTCCTATCTCCAATAAACCACCAGAAAACCGGAAGTGGCGCTGTAGCTCAAGTGGTAGAGCGCTCACCTTGAGCTGAAGAGCTGAGGGACAGCGCCCAGGCCCAGAGTTCAAGCCCCACGACCGACAAAAAAAAACAAAAAAACTAAGTTCATTGTAAATCATATGAAAGTCTTGTTCATTTCATGCTTCCCACTTTTTGTTATGTATTTTGTAATGTTATACCATCAGTACATGCAGATGTTCATAAGTTAAAACAGTTACTTGATGAAATATCTATTTATAGACACACATATCAATTCTTTTTCCCCTGGTAAGAGATGCTACTACTATACTGCTCCAGAAGTCAAAACAGTAAATGCCTTCATTATTTCAAGGTTTTGTCTCTGGCTTTGTCTTGGATTTTTGTTTGTTTTTATTTATTTTGAGACAAAATTGCACAGTGTAGTCCATGCTGACCTTGAACTCCCTGGGGAGCTTAGCTGACCCTTGTCTCAGTATGTCTAGTGCTGGGAATACCAGAAACATTATAGACATGAGCCATTATATCCCACCACCATTTCAGTTTATCTTTGTGCTCAACTCTGCTGTAGTATAAAGGAGTCACTGAAGGTTTTCACAAATGGACAAAACCTCATTTACGGACAATGAAATTCATAGTTTTCATGTGCCATGAAAGTCTTCTTCATTGGCCTAGGGTTTGAATTCAGGGCATAGTGAGTATTAAACAGGCAGTTTACCTCAATTCCAGCCCTTCTTCCACCCCACTTTGCTTTAGTTTTGTCAGGTAGGGTAGGGTCTCTCATTTTTGCCTTGGGCTGGCCTCAGATCACTATCATTCTACCTACAGCCTACAAAGATCATGCACCAACACATCCAGTTCCTTAATTGAAATAGGGTCTAACTAACTTTTCTACTTTCTTCCTGGGCTGGCCTTAAATCTAGATAATTCTAATTTGTTACTCACAAATATCAGGGATTATAGGTATATGGTAGGAATAATATCTTTGGAATCGTGTCTTCTGCAATTAAGTACTTGGCATTTGTAAGGGATTTCTGTGATAGTAGGGCTAGTGTTTGAGTCGTTCACAGCTCTTTGTTCAGAATTGAAGAGTACCTGTACCTAGAGAAGGCCTTGGAGTGGGATGGAGTACAAAGTTCAAAACTATGAGAATGGTTGTAATGCCAAAAAATAAAGAATGATAATTCAAAAGTGACACTGACTCTCATAGTTCCTTCACATCTTTATCTGCTTTCTTCCTGAGCCACTGTACAGGTTAAGAGGTTAAGAAGTATACACTTAAGCAGCATATTCAAAGTTATCCCAGTACATGGAAGTCATTTGTTCACATGGCTCCCTGAATAAACCTTGGGCTCGCCAATGCAAAAGGCAGTATTGAATTCACATTTATACCTCTGGTCTCTAACATCCTACTTAGCACACAGCACATTCCAATAAATGGCTGCTAAAATGCACAATTCACTTCTACAAACTAAGGAAGAAGACACACCAGTTTAATAATACATTTGTGCTCTATGAAATAAGTCATTATCTGAAACTTTCAAAATTGGGAGCTTTAAATCTAATAGTAATAGCCATTAATACCATTACTCAGAAAATATATCTATAATTACTCCACTGAATATTTGTAATGGGAAAAGTGACTTATCAAAAGCATGGAAGAGATGTCAGTTAGTAGGATATTAGAAACCTACTCACATACTAGAAAAGTAAAATCAGACCATTCAGATCTAGACTCACTTTAGAGTAGTAGTTTTTCTAATGAGTTACTAGTAATTAAGTAAGATAGCAAATAGCAAATACGGCACTGCTTAGACTAATTTCTCAAGCAACAAGGCTGTCACTCATCACAGTAAGATAGAATTCTATTTCAATATTGCCTTTCCTTAAGTTTTTCATCAAAAGTTACATGAAAACATACCACTGCCTAGAAATTTTAAGTCACAAATTGTATTCAGAATTTTAAGTCATTTATTTCTTGTCAAGCATCCTACACAGTTAGGATATATAATGTTAAGTTTATTTGACACAATTAATGGAAATAGTTTATACTCCGGATATGTCATCCAAAAACATGTATTGAGTTTTTAAGAAGCTAAATGATCTGAACAGATGTACAGTAGTTCTCTGAAGCCCAAAACAGCCAGACAACAGGAACAGCTCAATAAAGGGTAACAAGAGACTCCAGCAAGACTGTCATAACAATCATCAAATAGCACAAAAACATTTTTACATTATTTGTAGAATGAAGGACACCTGCCAAGAGTGAAATAAAAGAGGAAAACGAATGGAAGTCTAGTTCTGTGTTTTCGAAACAGTGGCATAAATACCTCTTCCAAATCAACCTTGATAACGCCATTTAAACAGTTTTCCATCACTAGATTGTTAAGTCTTCCTTTTCAATTGAGCTGCTGTAACAAGCAATTACAGCCAATTTTCTGTCATCAGTAGGAAATAATCCATCATAGCCTAGCTTTACCTGATACCCAATATAGCCCATCAGTATCTGTGCAAAGAAAACATGCTAATTTTGTGAATAGCTTAAATAAAACATGACTAAATGTGGATGTCACAAAACCAACACCAATGTTTTAGATTTGAATGTACCGAAGCCTGAGTTCAGGCACTTACTAGGTTGGGCATATGACTGAGCCAATTTTCTTATTAGCCTTTCTTAAAGTTTTAATTTCCTTATTTGAAAATATGATAAAAAGATATTATGTACTTAACGCTATTATCAGTAATACCAACTAAAATAGACATCGAAGCTACTTTTCTGTCTGGCATAAGACCACAGTAACTAAAAATGATGTTTAGTCAGCATATTCACTATAAATTGATGATGGCCAAGATACAAACAGATTTTTCTCAAAGAGATACAATCCTTAAGTTTTCTGTTAACCATGGTTGCTATTTTTAACCAAATTATATTTTGGATTTCCTATTCATCCTGTATTACCCAATTTCTGAAAATATACCTTCTTTTAAAATAACATTCATACATAAGAATGTTTCTGTTTTGTTGTTATTGTCATGGTTATTTTCAGTGATTAAGTTAAGCTAGGACAACGAAGTGGTCCACAGAGTAGAATCTTGCTGATCAGGAATTAAAGAAATAATAGAGTTTATTTGATAAAAAGAAAGAATGTTACATATATTTGTAATATATATTCAACAAATATTTACATTCACATATATTTGTTCCCTTACTGATTATGAATATAGTTAAAAATTCACCTCTTTATAATGAATTTAACAAATAAAATATTCTGTTCTGACATACATATATACATTGTGCAATGACTAAATTTAACCAATGAGGTACTATGTATTATTTCTATAGTTTATATATTGATCATATTTTTCTTCGTATCTTAGCATTATTAACACATCATCATATAATCATATAATCACCATACTGCACAACAGATCTTTTGAATTTATTCCTATCAAGCTGAAATTTTGTGTCCTATGACTACCATCTCCCAAACCCCATCCACAACAACCCAAATCCCTATAAACACTAATCTATGCTTTACTCCTATGAGATGAACTTTGTCACATTACACAAAGGAGTGACACCGTTCAGTAGCAGTCTTCCTATGCCTGGCTTATTTCACTTAACACAGTACTAACTAAAAAAACAATAAGAAGTCATCTCACACCTGTCAGAATACCTGTTGTCAACAAGACAAAAGATAACAAGTATCAGAGAGGATTTGGAGAAATGGGCATCTTTATACACAGTTGGTGGGAATATAACTTAGGACAGGCATTCTGGAAATAATGTGAAGGGCCTTCAAAAAAGATGTGTTCTGTTCTCTACAAGACAGAAACACTGTCTACAGAAACATACTGAGTTCTATAGCAAAACAATGGACATACACATTTGAAAATTCCATTTAAACTAAAGGTCTAACTTACCATCATTTTTTCAAAGAGATCCACAACCTCCTTTTCTGACAAATTCAAAGATCGTTCATCATATAAAGGCTGAGCTGCTGGAAACTCACTCACAGCAACTTGAGAATCAATAGGATGTTGAATGAGAAGTTTTTCTTTTTTGACGGTGGATTTTCTAAAACTTGTAATTCGGTCACGCTGCAAACAGACAAAAATAAAAAGCTTTGAGAAAAAGCTCAAGAACCATGAGCAGGAGAACTGAAACATCAAAATGGCAATGAGTATAATACATATCATGACTGCCTCCTGACAAAATGATATTGTAAGCAACAAGCTCCACTAGGAGATTATACTTCACAAGAGTGAAGCCACCCTTGAGCTTTAGAAGGCTAGGGGTGGAAATTATTCCTCAAAAGTCAAACTTAGCCCTTTGTCATTTTCTGTCTTGCACAGTTAGTAGATAAAGATTCTGATCAAAAATCTTGTGGTTAGCTAGGGAGAATGGATCATTGGTGGCAACTTTACAGCTATCGAAAAGAAAAACAAATAGATTCTGATATTATTACAGCACTGCTTGTCTTCTCCAAAGTGCAAAACCCATAACAAGTGTTCCTGAATAATCTATGTTCAGCAGTCAGGTGCAACATGGACTTGGAGGCCATATTACCTGGGTTTCTATCTAGATTGCCAATTGCCAGCTCAACATCCCTATAAAAATGACTGCCACCTCATCTCTAAACTAGGAACAATATTACTGACACCATAGGATCATCTTAAGATTTAAATAAGTTTAGTGCAAGTAGCGATTTATTATTGCTGTTACAATTATTGTTGCCCTTCAATGTTTTTATCCTCTAAAAGGTGGGACCAACAATGTAGCCAAAACAAAAAGAAAACCATGACCTGTTCCATGTAATGGAAACAGAAACAGAAATATCTTCTTCCTACAAATACTATCAGGAATAACCTTGAACCATGGATTCCATGACACAGTCTCTAATAATCACCTTGTTCTTTCACATAAAGTGAGTTAAGGACTTCAGTTGCACATAAACAGGACATTCTGTTTTAAACCACAAAACATCAGACATCAAAAATTAGTATTGCTCATAAAACTGAATGCAGCTCAATTTTATTCTGGTTTCTGTTAGGAAGCACATGCATCCCCTCAGCTCATGTTGGAAAAGCAGACATGTTAGCTAAAAGGACAGTGTGTGGCCACTGCCATGTCACCAGCATCCTTACCATTACCCATTACCTTAACCATACAAAGAGCATCACAGGCAGTATTATCACCATTTCTGTAAAATACCTTGACTCTCATGAAAAGAATATATTCTACATTTTACCAATTCAAAAAACATATTTTTTAAAAATAAGGTTCACTGTGGCTCAAGTGGTAGAGTACTCGCCTTGAGCTGATGAGCGCAGCGATAGCACCGAGGCCCAGAGTTCAAGCCCCACGACCAACAAAAAAAAAATTTACAAACAACAACAACAACAAAAAATAAGGTGTGTGCTTTGAAAGAAACATAAGCAGTTTATTTAGGATTACAAAATGATATAAGCATGTGGTTGCTGACAAAGGTGTTATATAAAGAAGAAACACAAGAAATCAGCTAGACCAACTCCCAGCATTACATGGAATAAGAGACTCAATTAAATTCATGAGTGTTTGGTTCTAATCTCAATATTTACACATTAACTTAAAGAGTCATTTCTTTAAATTATTTTCTTTTAACTCTTTGAGGATGTTCCACTAAGAGATTGTACTACTTTGTAACAGTGAAACAGCCCTTGAGCTCCCAAAGGCTAGGGGTAAAAAGTATTTCTCAGAAGTCATTTTCTATGGAAAATTTTGAGGAAAATTAAATTGGTTTATATATGTAGTACACCTTTGTACAACTCTTTAAAAAATAAGTAATCCCAAATAAAGTGAATCAAATTCTACTGAATGAAATGGTGGACATGAAAGCATTTAAATATGCAACTGACCGTTAAATTAATGTATCTCCTCCCTTTCCCTTCCCTTCAGACCACTTACTATTTGCTTTTGCATTGCTAGCTTTTTTTAATTAAGTAACAATATTACTAGCATAGAGATTTGATTTATCACTGGGCAACAAAAGAATTGGCTTTTGATTTCTGATATATCTTGATAAGAAAATAAACTCAAGCCACAGACTTTCATCTTCATAGAGCAGTAACACAATTTCACATTATTGTAAACAGATAATTTCACCTACACACAAAAATAAGACATTAAAATACCATGTTTGAAATGTAGATTGAAAAGGCCTGCTTAAGTGTTGGACCTATAACTTTAAGTCAGTTTTACTGTGATAGATTGAAATTGAAAATTTTTTAAGCTTTTAAATTCAATAGCACATATCTGAGTAACATAATGGACTTACATTACTTTCTCTTTAAAATTAATATCTTCCAATATCAATGTTTAGTATATTCAATTTATGTGGCTACCGAAAAAGGAAACAAGTTTAACAGAGTCTAGAGTTATTTACAGAATTTTATAAATGGTGTGGGTATATATCAGGATGATAATAAAATTGTGTTAAACATGATTGTTTATAATAATATTCAAAAAGTAGAGGTTACTTTCTTTACAACTACTCCCTTCTACTATGCCTTGCAAATATCCAAACTTTTTTTTTTTTTTTTGGGTCTGGTCGTGGGGCCTGAACTCTGGGCCTGGGCGCTGTCCCTCAGCTCTTCAGCTCAAGGCTAACGCTCTACCACTTCCAGCTCCACTTGCAGCTTTTTTCTTTTTGCTTATGTGGTGCTGAGGAATCGAACCCAGGGCCTCAGGCATGCAAGGCAAGCGCTCTACCACTGAGCCACCTTCCCAGCCCCTATCCAAACATTTTTATGTGTTACATATATCAATGCTTGAATGTCCACTCATTTTTTAAAATAACATGCATAAATAATATAATAACATGCTTCTAAGTACGCCTTACCATATCATCTGCCAAAGTTTTTATTTGAATGTTCTATTTTGCCAGAAGGAAATAAACAAGAAGAAATACCAGTCAGATAAAAAGAAATTCATAGATCAAACAACACGATAATAATGATGAACTTTACTTTTGTCAACTTAAATAGTAAAAAAAAAAAAATTAGGAAGTTTAACATATAATCAATAAATCCTTTATCAAAAAAACTAATTCAGAGAGTAAAAACAAAGTGGTTTTTTTTTTTTTGGGGGGGGGGGTCGGTCCTGGGGCCTGAACTCTGGGCGCTGTCCCTCAGCTCTTCAGCTGAAGGCTAGCACTCTACCACTTGAGCGTCAGCCCCACTTCCGGCTTTTTCTGCTTATGTGGTGCTGAGGAATCGAACCCAGGGCCTCATGCATGCAAGGCAAGCACTCTACCACAACTTCCCAGGCCACAAAGTTTATTTTTAAAAGGGGGAGCTCTCTATTTGTTTTTAAATATAGCTACTAAGATCCTAAAGCTGAATCTGGATCAAATATCACAAGCAAAAACAACAAAATCACAGGCCCTTCTAGGGCTTTTTTTTAAGTTTTATAATAAATAATAATGTTTTAATGACACCTAAATTTATAGAACAAAATGTGAATAACAGGGAAAATGTCATATTCAACAGTGACAAAACTAAATGTTGTCATTCCATTATGTATGTTAATTTCTCAAAATCTCTCAGTATTTTGCATGTGGCTTTCTACTTCCTAATAGTGTACCCAGAATCCTTAGAGATTGTGTTTTCATATTACTAAATAAACTAATAGAAACTATAAAACTATCAAATTAATGACTCATAGACAGCATAACATACCACTACTTGGAGAACTGCAACACAACAAAACTAAAGCAATTCATAAGGTATTTCAAATCCTACAATAACATATAAGCAGAATAAAGTGCACTTCAGATATAATCATGTATTGCTTTGATGGTGGTATATGTTTGGAGACATGCATTAAAAGTGATTTCATTATTATACAAACATCAGAGAATATACTTAAACGAAGATGTGATACAATGTTATGGGACCACCGTGTGTGTGTGTGTGTGTGTGTGTGTGTGTGTGTGTGTGTGTGTGTGTGTGTGTGTGTGTGTGTGTGTGTGTGTGTGTGTGTATCATGCCATGGTTGACTGAAAATTACTATGCAGCACATGAATGTAGAGTGAAGTTTAAGTTAAGAGCTATGATTTAAAAAATAGCCAGATTTTGAAAAATTATGTTAGGAATTAAATTTAACCCTTCTGCTATAGTCCTCATACACTGTGTTTTACAAAAGTAGATGGGTAATGTGTATTGATTTGAGCATGGGTGTTCATACCCTTCTTTACTAACAAAAATCATCTCTTACTAGAGAGAATTATTGAGGAAGAACTGCATGATGTCAGGAGCTCAGAAAATTATCTTCAAATACCTTCAGTTTCCTCAGAAACCTGAAATTCTAACCTCCGCACTGTGTCTTCAACACAATCCCGAATCAAACTTTACTGCTAGACCAAAAGGAAAGTGCAGGGGGGGGGGGGGGGGCTCTTTATATCAGAACAGAAACCATTTTAAAGAAGGATGAGTTCCCCCTAGGGCTTTCCTTTATCAGCGATTTTCTCTTTAGTTTCTTAGGTAGTTCCACAAAGCCCTTATGGGCCACAAGCTTCATGGTTTCTTATAATGCAGAAACAGAAAAAAAATCATGGCAAAGTATCAAAAGGGCCTGAAATAACCCAGCCACTATCCCGATATGGGCCTGTCCACCTGGATTTTTGAGACAGATTATATCACTATTTGAGCAACTTCAGCTTTCCTTTTTTTCCCATCATCTGGGGCTATAAACTCAAGATTGGAAACATCTGTATTTTCAAAGCAGAAATATGAATTAGAGGGAAATGTGATTTGCTTTAATCAAATCCCAAAAGTTAAGGTACACATATGTCAGAAATACTTCAAACCTGTATGTCAGAAAGAATTACTTCAAACCTGTACCTTACTCAAACACATCTTGACAATTTAATCATAGGAGGAAAACTGAGGTGGGGGATGAGGGGAGATTGCTATCAATAAGTCCACCTTGTCCTATTGGAAGAGACTCCAATCTTCTCTCTGCACTATTTCAATCTTTTTTGGAATTAGCATATTTGGGGACACAGTAAACCACACATCATGGACAACTACAACTGGGTGGAATCTGAGATAACCTGGGAAAACCTCTCATTCTATGAATAAGAAAGTAACATGCATACTAATAATACTACCTGCATTCCATTTGTATATGCTTAAAACTTCAGTGTTACTGGTCTCCTTCCTCTCCATTCCCTACAGCCAAGCAGCTAGTAGTCCAGTCCCACTGAAATCTTACTACAACCCCCCCCCCCCCAAAAAAAGAATCAAGTTCAAATATGATCAGCTCTTTAAATTTCTATAGTAACCTTCCACAGCCTGTCTCTCTGCTTCTACCTTCACAGTCATACAGTTAATCTTGATCATAAGAAAGTAAGAGCCGACAAATCGAAAACCAAAGTCAGATCAAGCCACTCCTTTGGGAAAAACCTTGCAATAGCTCTTTATTTGCACTCTCAGTACAAGTCAATGTGGTACAATAGCTTTCAAGGACGTATGGCTTACACACAACCTGGATACCTCTGCTCCCACTGTTTACACTGATTACATCACTGCTCCCAAATAAGGCAGTCAACCACAGACAGTAGGCTCTTCCCTTAAGCTTGGAACGTTCTTTCTATTATCTATATGACTTCCTCTCTCACCCCTTACAGGTGTTTGCTCAGTTAGATCTATCTAGTAGGAAATAGGAAGAAACATGGGTTTCTTCCACATGTTCCCACTACTTCTGACCTGATTGTGCTCTTTTCCTTTCTTTAAATAGGCCTTAACATACCAAACATTATTTGCAATTTATTTTGCTTAATTTTTTTTGTGAAAATACAGAGGGGTTACAATTACATGGGCAAGGTAATGAGTACATTTCTTATCAAGCATTGTTGCCTCCTCATTTATACTTATTTATTGTTAGTTTTCCTTGCTAAAAGTATGAACTATCCAAGGACTGGGATTTTTGTGTGTTTGGTTCTGGGGTGTAGCCCTAATGCTTAGAGTAGTGGCTGGTCCACTGAAGTTCAATAAAGACTATGAATCTCATATTCCCATTCATAAATATCCAATGCCTCACTTCCCTAGCATGTGCAAGGGTTGGGTTCAATCTCTCACACCAAACACACACACACACACACACACACACACACACACACACACAAAATATACTTTCCTTTATAATTATGTTTTTCCAGGTTAAGCACCTAAATATTGGATGCCTATAGTTAAGTGCATCTCAAGCTACAAAGAAGTAAACACTATGGATTTTATTCCTGATTACAAACTATGGAGCTACTAAGGAGTTTAAAAAAGTAAATAATTTTTTAAAATTTGAAAAAGACATAGGTGACCAAAATAATCTTTATTAAAATCACATCCTTGGATTAAAAGCACTGATTAAGGTCATTTTACTCAGTTCTTATTATGCAAATCTAATGATAATTGTCATTACAATTGAGAGCATATTGCACCAATAGTATAGTGACCATTTATTTTCATTAAAATCAAGTTTGGTAAAGCAATCAGACTGTGCATTAGTCAAGCAAGCTGAGTTTATTAAACTTCATTTATGATCAGGCATACTAAATAGAATTAGTACAGTATTATGAGAGTATTGTATAATTATAAAAGTATCACTCTAGAGTCTCAACCCCTTAAGAATAATTGCAATGCAAGAGACCATTATTGCAAGAAAATTAAGTTTTAATTTTCTCAATCAGGCAAAAATTAACAAAAACAGCAAGATGTAAAGAGTCAACTCTCTGATGGCTAATCTTACATAATAATACAATGTTTTATAAATATTGTGCAATTACTCTAGTACCACAGAAATTGGGCAACTAAATTGCATATAATACAAATGCTTCTCCATCAACTCAAAAACTCTGGCACAGTATTTGACAATTTTCTTCTGTTTTAAAGAAAATCACTAAGTTGGTAATTACGACAAAGATGCTTTAAGCATCCTACTCTCCAAAAGGGTTGGGGCAACAGAACACAGGAAACACACATTTAACTCAATTGAATACGTATTTGCATATCTACTAAGCATCTATTCAGAGCTGGGCATCAGAATTACAATGCTAAGCAAGGTAAACATGTCTTCTTCCTTTACAGAATTACAGTGTAGTTATAAAAAAAAAAAAAAACAGAAGAATGAAAGCACAATCACAAGAAAAGATTCTGTGACCTACATATACTTAACCAAAGTTAGAAAAAACTTGAAGGGCAATGACCAACACCAACCATTGATTCAGGGTTTGATTTCTCAGAATGACATCTCTGCCAATACCTGCCAGCAGATCTGTGGTTGTCATAGAAGGAAACAGGATTCAAAGACTTACCCCTCCCCCCCCCCCACCCCCCCCCACCCCCCCCCCCTCCCCCCCCCCCCCCCCCCCCCCCCCCGCAACTTCTCATGTGCTATACACTGAACCATCAAAACCAGTACGACCAATCAGGACAATGAAACCACCTACCTGGTCACCAAGCTATACAACCTGTGTGAGCAGTGAAATATTTTATTATAAAAGCTTGTGTCAGCCGAATGCCTCTCAAGTGTGCTTATCTCACCAAGAATGGTATCTATAATCTGACATTTCAAACCGAGCTCAGTGTAGAAGTTTTGCTCTAAAATGACAGGAGGAAAAAAATAAAATAAAATAAAAATGACAGGAGGAAAAAAATTTGAGCTTTCATAATCAAATACTGACTATATTTCAAATTACTCTCCAAACACTCTTCGATCTCCTTTCTAACAGTGAGGAGCATTTTCAGAAATTCACACATCATCTGAGGCACTGTTGTCCTCAATCACAATTAGCACTTATTAATAGAAAGTAGATCAAATAATAGTGTTCTAGGAATGGGAATTTAAAGAGAAATGCCCTCAAATATCAAATGCTCAGTAATTGG